GACACATCACAGCAAGCCATCCATGGGTTCTCGGGATGGGAGTGATGGCTCAAGGGTGGGGAGGACAATCAGGCTTGCTACCTGAGTCCAGGCAGAGCTTCGGCTTTCCAATGAGACTCAATTTCTTTTATTTTTTTTTTTTTTGAGACAGGGTTTCTCTGTGGTTTTGGAGCCTGTCCTGGAACTAGCTCTTGTAGACCAGGCTGGTCTCGAACTCACAGAGATCCACCTGCCTCTGCCTCCCAAGTGCTGGGATTAAAGGCGTGCGCCACCACCGCCCGCCCATGAGACTCAATTTCAACAAAGACGTTTATCTGGCTATTGATCTTGAGGTTGACGGCTTTCTAAGACTTGTCTGAGAAAAAGGGCCTTTTCTGTTCTCCCAGTAGCATTTTCTCTCTTCCCCTGTCCTCCCCCAACTGAGTTGTGGTGGATGGAGAGTTCTCTGAGCACTGAAATTGCCTAGACCTGAAGGAACGTCTAGGGCAGTGGTTCTCAACCTGTGGGTCCCGAACGATCCTTTTACAAGGGTGCCCTGAGACCACCAGAAAGCACATATTTACATTATGATTCATTGCAGTAGCAAAGTTACAGTTATGAAGTAGCAATGAAAGCGATTTTATGGTTGAGGGGGGTCACCGCAACATGAGGAACTGTATCAAAGGGTCGCAGAATTAGGATGATTGAGAACCACTGCTCTAGAGTAAAGGTCAGAGAATCCTGGCCAAAAGGAATGCTGTATTCTGCATGCACAAGACACTGCCTCTTTGGTCAGTTGTCTCTTCTTGGACATCTGGGCTAGGCTGCAGACACCAATATTCCATCAGGTGGTTAGAGTCTGGGACAGTGCGTTTGACTTCGGTTCCTGTACCGTGGGTTTCAGAGTGGTCTTGATTTTTTAAACCAATGACATAATTTCTAATTTATCAAGCCCCCTTTGGGATAGTTTTGACAATTCTGTGACTGGCAAGAGACCCGTTCACTTGTTGCTAAGGAGGCCCAAAGGCAGCGAGCAGCTCAGACGCCTATGTTCCCTAAGTTTTTTCCTGTACTGCGAGGTCTCCAGCGCATTTGGCCAGAGATGATGTTTTAGCCTGGGCCTGCTGGTATGTCTGCTTGGTGCCCAGTGACACTGACCTCTGAAGGAGCCCTCCTCAGGAACCACAGGGGGAGGTGGGTCTATGCTGCTATGCCCATGGAGCAGAAGGTAGGGAGGAAGTCTCTTGCCGTTTCCCTGTGGTGTGTGACGCTGAAGACAAAGGGAACTTCTGAAGTACACGGATGCTTTGAAAGAAAAGAAGCCTCAAGCATGTCGTATTTGAACCTCTGAAACTCCTGTTTCTTTTGTAGATGAGCGATAGTGACAGGATAATGGGGGATAGAGAATAAGCCACAGCCATGCCCCACCGACTCGTAATCTCCATGGAATGCGTGTGGATAGCGAACTGCAGGGTGTCTGAGGCCCTGCCTCAGTTCTCATGGACGAGCTGAGGCTCATAGTGCACTCGGCTCACTCAGGGAATTGCTGCAGAGCTAGGCCCGGAGTCCAGGTCTCCTGTTCTTTAGGGTAGTGAGTGTTTGATTGATGTTAGAAACACTGTATAGAGGGTTTGAGAAGGCCTCTGTCTTGCCTATTTTGCATGACAGGCACTGTGGGGTTAACAAGGCAAACTGGGTTTGTGCGTGTTAAGGTTTGCCTGGGTGGGCCAACGAAGAAAGACTCATGGTTTTCCTAGAAGATAGAATTGGGGGCTTAGGGGAAGTCTGATCACCCAGTGTCTGTGCTGATAGTTTAGCAGTTGTCAGCTGGGGATGATACCATCACCCGTCCCTTGCCAGGGGACATATAAAATGTCTCTAGGCAATTTTGGTCATTGTAACTAGGCCAAGAAGTGGTGCCAGCTCTGTGGATGCAGAAACTTCATCTTCTCTACCGTCTCTCTTCAACACTTAGAGTGAACTTGGTGCAGCGTAGGTTCCCAGGGAATATTAATTGAGTGAGTGGATGAATGAATGAATGAATGAGCAGGCCCTGGGAAAGCCTGTTGTATCATTGTGTCCTCCCACCCGGGCCCCTTTGTAAAGGGAGCAGGGAGTTAATATGAGTTCCTTCCCACCCTGAAACCCAGGGCAAGTGGCCTAACAGGAGGGGGTGACAGACAGGGAGACAGAGAAGAGAACGGCATCAGGTGGCAGAGGTGAGAAGTGTCACAGACACTGGGCAGTGTACAGGGCAGCCCTGAACAACCCAAGATCGCTCAACCCACAGTGTCTACACTGCTGAGTCAAGAAGCTCCCCGACAGGGTGATCTTCAACCTTGTAGGAGAGCCGGGAGATAAGCAGTCACAAGGAATTTGCTAATGGGGCAGCTAGAGATGGGGTGCAGAGGCTGACGTACCCCTCACTCTCTTGACCGGCAAGAGCTGCATGGAGCCGCTCTCAGGCAGCTGTGGAGGTGTCTACCATCCCGGGCGTGTTCTTCACAGCCAATCACCCTCCTTGAGTAATCTCAGAGAGAAGCTTATAAAGTGTTTTTAAGAGGCTGAGAAGCACAACTTCAGAAGCACATAAACGCTTCCATAAACGCCAGCTTTGCAAAATGACTCCACGGAGGAAGAACAAGCAGGGCCATCTCCTACGCTTGGGCAAGTCCAGGGTTTGAGGTGGAAGAACCGAGCTTGTCTTTGGTCCACAAGTTTCAGGGTCTCCTCTGTTGATTTGCTTAGGCATCTGGTAGTGATTTGGTTCTGATCTTTTTATTCCTACTCTGCGGTTGGTCATCTCTGGGATGTGTTTGGTGACCAGGAAGGTCTAAGTGGTTTTAGGCTCAGGGAAGATGAAGACTACAAGGGAAATGGTCTTCCAGCCCTGCCCATGGCTCCAAACAGGTGGATTACATGATGACCAGCTCATAAACTGTCTGAAGGGTTGGTTATACTGCTATCATATTGTTCCTGAAAGGGGGCACAGAGACATCAGCAAACTCCAGCGGAGTGCTTATACCCATGAGCCTTTGCTGCCCTTACTATAAACTATCACCAAAGACCGTCCTTTTGGCTAACCAGCACTTCTAAAGTATGGAGGGGCTTTCAAAACACACTTATAGTTATCTTTGGATCCTCATGGTGTCTATGTGGAGTAGACAGAAGAGCCCCCTGATCTCTACTGTTTCCACCAGGCCACTAGGGATCCCAGAGAGGTGACATGCTCAGTGTCACAGGGTGAATGATTGGTGGAGCCAGTATCTGAATGCTGGTCTCTTGTCCCTAAATTCTAGGTATCCTGAATTGGAGTCTAAGAGCCCGGGTTTCAGATATAAGTATTACCACTCGCCCCCTGATTACCACGAGTGTTCAAGCAATGGATGGCAACTGGTGGAGGTTCACTGGCTATGAGGCGCACACGGAAGAGTTAAAATCCCAAGCACCACAAGCACATTGCCACAGCTAGTTCTTTTAATTTTATTAAATTTAAATCTAAAAATTACATTTATTTCTTCTGTGTGTATGTGTATACACAGCTGCGTGCAAACGCGGTGTCCATGTGTGGATCTAAGGGAAACTTGTAGTTGCTTCTTTCCTTCTACCATATGGGCCTGGGGATTGAACTCAGATCGTCAGGCTTGGTTGCAGGCGCCTTTACTCACTAAACCATCTCCTTGGCCTACACATAATTTTGAAATATTTTAAAAATTATTATTATTGTGTGTATGTGTGCATGATATGTGTGTAAGAGTGTAGACATGTGCATGCTCCTGCGTGTGTGTGTGTGTGTGTGTGTGTGTGTGTGTGTGGTGTAGGTCAGAGGACATCTTTCAGAAATCAGGTCTTTCCTTCTACTTTAGGATCCCCAGATCAAACTCAGGTTGTCAGGCAAGAGCTTCTGCCTACTGAGCCATCTTTCTGGCCTTTACTTTTTTTTTTTTTTTTTTTTTTGGTTTTTCGAGCCAGGGTTTCTCTGTAGCTTTGGAGCCTGTCCTGGAACTAGCTCTTGTAGACCAGGCTGGTCTCGAACTCACAGAGATCCACCTGCCTCTGCCTCCCGAGTGCTGGGCTTAAAGGCGTGCGCCACCACCGCCCGGCCCTGGCCTTTACTTTTAAAATGAGCTTGCGAGGTATCAGGTTCCTTATGGAGTGTATCTGTCTAGACAGGTCTGTACTAGTTTTGCTTGATCCTGCTCCTCACTCCCACCCCTTCCCCTCTTCCCCCTGCTCCCCATCATCTCTTATCCTTTTTGCCCCACTTTCCCCTTCCTATGTCTTTATCACATGTTCTAGTACCTTCTTCACCCCCCCCCCCCAAAGTCTCTCTTATGGGCCCCTTTCTAGTTGTCTGACTTACACACACACTCCTACATAAACACACATGTGTAAAAATTAGAAGCGAGGAACCACATATGACGGAGAACACGTGGGGTTTGTCTTTCTCAGCCTGCGTTTCCTCACTCAACCCAACACTTTCCAGCAACATTCATTCTCCTGCAAATTCCATAGTTTTCTTTTTCTTTATAGACGAATAATATTCCACTATGTATCCTTTACTCCCTTTTCATCACTCCGGTGGCCTGGGCACGGATGAACAGCTGTGGGAGTATGGGTGACAGATGGACAGATGGGGTTCCTCGGGGGAAGACAAGTAGGGAGGACAGAAACCAAATGTCATATGTGAGGCCACTCCCAGTTTATGAGAGCTGAAGCAAGGACTCTTTGACGAGGTCATAAAATTCAGCCTGCCAGGAAATGACAATGTCTGAGAGTCCCGACTTAGCAAACCCAATTGGACAATTTTTTTCCCCTTTTACAAGGAAAGACATTCTGATGGATAGCAAAAATGACATTCTAATGAGATAGGCTTTCTGGGAATGGAAAGGGTTTTCCCAAGAGCTAAAGACCTGGAACACGCCAACACCCCATGGAGAGTGTATATAAGCGCTGTAGGGAGCCCTGGGGAGTCCACAACCTGAGCTCCTGCCTAAGCTGCAGCCTTCTTCGCTAACGTCATGGCCACCCAGATCTGCACCCCGACCTTCTCCACTGGGTCTGCCAAGGGCCTCTGCGGCACCTCAGGCAGCGTCTCTCGGATGTCTTCTGTCCATTCCATGAGCTCCTACAGGGCCCCCAGTTTGGTTGGCACTGTGGGCTCCATGTCCTTCAGGACAGGCTTATCCGGCCTCGGCAGCTGCTTGCCGGGCTCCTACCTGTCCTCTGGGTACCACTCCTCCGGCTTTGTAGGAAATGGAGGCTGGTTCTGTGAGGGCAGCTTCAATGGCAACGAGAAGGCGACCATGCAGGTCCTGAATGACCGACTGGCCAACTACCTGGAGAAAGTGCGGCAGCTGGAGCAGGAGAATGCGCAGCTGGAGTGCCGCATCCGAGAATGGTACGAGCGTCAAGTGCCATACATCTGCCCGGACTACCAGTCCTACTTCAAGACCGCCGAGGACTTGCAGCAGAAGGTAATGGACCAGGTCCTCTTCCAGCGGGCCAGGCAACTCCCGGAAGCCTTCCATTCCAAGATTCAGCTGCTTGCTGAAGCATACAGGAAATCCTTCTGGATGGAGAGAGCTCTATTCTCTGGGACTTGGTTCCCTGGGGTCTCAGGCTTCTCTGCTGGTCTGTGTACTCTGGTACCAGCAGTTCTACTGCTTCCCTTGTTGTCTTAGCTTAGGGAGGGAAGGATCATAACCTTAGTCCCTACTTGGTGTAGTGCTGTATCTGACACCTTCCTAGCCACTGGCTTGCTTATTCTTCATCCTGGAGATAGGGATATCGCTGTGCCCATCTAACAGATGAGAAGTTGAGTTTTGAGAGGCTGAGCAGCTTGCACAAGGTCACACAACCTAAATGTGGAATCCAGAATCAGAACCCAGTTCTGATATATCAGAACCTCACCCTGATGTATCCTGCTGGGCCACCCTGGAGGCTACAGAAGCCAGGACTGATGCGCAAGTGATGTGGTGTCCCTCCTAGGGCCCATTCTCCTTCCATGACTGGATATTTAAAGACATTGCCTGTATTTAGAGGCATCTGTGAGCTGTGTCCCCCCGCCCCCCATCCTCACATTGCTAGCCCTTCCCCAGTTCAGGGCAAACCTCTTGTTTTTCCAGATCCTGTTGACCAAGTCTGAGAATGCCAGGCTTGTCTTACAAATTGACAATGCCAAGTTGGCTGCTGATGACTTCCGGACCAAGTGAGTAGCCTAACTAGGGCAAGTTTGCTCTGTGTCAAATTCTGTCCCTTGAATTTTGGGAGCTGGTGAGGTGGGAATAAAGCCCAATGCAGCTGTAAATTGGAAGCCACGGCAGAGGCCTTGGATCCCTCCTGAGACAAGGGAAAGGACCCCTGTGTTTCTGACTCTAAGTTAGCCATGGCAGCCAGGGCTTCCCTTGCTGCAGACTGGGCAGGGTTCTGTGTATGCAGGTATGAGACGGAGTTGTCCCTGCGGCAGCTGGTGGAGGCGGACATCAATGGCCTACGCCGCATCCTGGACGAGCTGACCCTGTGTAAGGCTGACCTGGAGGCGCAGGTGGAGTCCCTGAAGGAGGAGCTGCTGTGTCTCAAGAGGAACCACGAGGAGGTGAGATTGCTGTCAGCTGACCCCAAAGGTCCCCAACCAGCCAAGGAGTCACTGCTGACCCCTGGGCTCACTGTATGGCAGGAAGTCCACGAAGCATTTTGTATCTTAGTTCACCCCCACTTTCACCCCAAAAGTTAGATGGCATCATGAGCTCCATTTTACAGCTGAGAAGACGGTTGTAAAGATGTGATGTCATTTGCCTACATCACACAGAGACTACACCCTCACCCATGACACTTCAACTCCATTTGTATTATGGTGTCTGATAATAATTCTATTGGCTTGGTGTGTCATCCCCTAAATCCTCAGGAGGAGTGAGGTATAGCTAGACCCATGGGGAGACCCATGTTCAAAGAGGCCAGCTCTCTTGTCTCATGGTACCTGAGGGAGGGAGGAGAATTTGAACCCAGGTCACGGAACCTACCAAGCCAGCAACTTTCTCACAGCCACATGCCATCCTTGCTTTGTCACCGCAGGAAGTCAATGCACTCCGTTCCCAGCTTGGGGACCGACTGAACGTGGAGGTAGATGCTGCCCCGCCAGTGGATCTCAACAAGATATTGAATGACATGAGGTGCCAGTATGAGACCCTGGTGGAGAATAACCACAGAGATGTGGAGGCTTGGTTCAACACTCAGGTGGGGTTGGCGACCCAGGACTGTAGGTTGTGGAGTGGGGTCACTGTGGAAAGGGGAGACTCTAGGTCTCATCCCGTTCTGCATTTTCTCTTCCGTAGACCGAGGAGCTGAACCAGCAGGTACTGTCCAGCTCCGAGCAGCTGCAGTGCTGCCAGACGGAGATCATCGAGCTGAGACGCACAGTCAACGCCCTGGAGATCGAGCTGCAAGCCCAGCAGAGCATGGTGGGTGGTCTCTGCCCAGCTGACTGGTCACAGTTCATTGGAGGCTCTCTGACATAGCAATGTGCTGGACATCATGTTCTCACAGGGCCTAAACCCAACTGTGTGCAGATACTAGGACAGCGGGTGTTTAGGGCAGAATCCCTTCTCAATAGCGCCTCTTCCCCACTGTAGCGGAATTCCCTGGAGTCTACGCTGGCTGAGACAGAGGCCCGCTATGGCTCCCAGCTGGGTCAGATGCAGTGTCTGATCACCAATGTGGAGCACCAGCTGGCTGAGATCCGCTGTGACCTGGAGCGGCAGAACCACGAGTATCAGGTGTTGTTGGATGTCAAGGCCCGGCTGGAATCGGAGATTGCCACCTACCGTCGCTTGCTGGAGGGCGAGGATTGCAAGTGAGTGATCCTCTGCCTCTCAGAGCTGGGCTGAGAGTAGGGCTTGACACACTTTCAGAGCTGAGGGGTTGTTTCGAAGACGAAGGTGGCGGAGCTAAAGCCATTAAAGAATCCTTCTGGTCCAGGGCTTTGGAAATGGTCAAGGGGACAAGATAAGGCGAGGCTCAAGCCCATCTTTGGCCATCTTTTTGGTGGACATCTCTAGTCTCCCTTCTTGCAGTTCCATCCTCCCTTCCTTGGGGTTTCAGAGTCACTTAAATGCTCTGATGTCATCCATTGTCGTTACCACTGTCCAACAGGATCCCCTAAGTTGGTCTAATGCTCCCATGCCAAGTGCTTCACATTGTGACTTCATTTCTTCAGGCTTCCTGCCCACCCTTGTTCCACGGAGTGCAGGCCTGCTGTAAGAGTTCCTTACGTTCCCCCTACACCCTGCGCCCCGGCTGGACCCTGCACCCCAGCTCCCCAAGTCAGCACCCAGATTCGTACCATCACCGAGGAGATCAGAGATGGAAGAGTCGTCTCCTCCAGGGAGCACGTGGTGCCCCGTGCACTGTGACCAGCCACCAGTGAGGCCTAGGCCACAGGCCTCGTGGCTCTTGGCAGCGAAATGATTTTGCACTTCCCTCGGGCCCTCCTTGCTTAGCAGGTTTTTCTACTAAAATTCATCTATTGTTTCTGGTCTTAACTGTGCTTTTTACGCCATGCAAAACCAGGTTTCCCTGGAAACATACCCAATAAAGTGTTCTCTTGGCATAGCAAAGCAGATCCTGACTGACTCTGTTGATTCTCCTGGGGTTAGTGTCTATGGGTGTTTGGGTATGGGATGCAGTAAAGTCGCTGAGTGATTCAAAGAATTAATATTGGAGATGCTTTACGTTCTGGTCAACAGACACTGACTCCTACCTCAATCTTGGTGGGTGCTGGTTGGTTGTCCCTAGATTAGCTTTGTCTGTAGGCACCTACCCTAAGATAGGCAGAGAAAATGCAAAGCCTCCAGTCTTCTTTAGCTGTCCTGATGGCATCAGTGATCATCTCTCATGCCGCCCTACTTTCTCCCGTGGCTAGCTCCTGTTTCCCTTTTTCCCAACACGTATCAGTTCAATAGAGTCCCAGGGCCAACCAGAGAGCTCCAATCTCAGGTAGCCCAGACTGAGCCAACCACACCATGGAGGGGAGTTGGGGTGAACTGGAAAGTGAAGGCAGAGCGTCAGGCAAATCCATGTTCCTAACATGGGGGTACGGGAACGATAGAAGACCCTGGAGGCTAGGGGCACTTTTATATTCTGTATTATAAAGACTCATTTGCACTCCGTATTGTAAAGAGGAGTCAGCGTTTCATGTACACACTGCTAATGGTTTGTTTGTCCTAACCTACAGCTCAGATGTCCTGGGAGGAGCACAGGGTTGAGGATGGCAGATAGTCGCCAGACTTAGAGTTTCAGGAAGTCCCTGAGCACAGACACCCACAGAATGAGGGAGGAACACCGAGATGACAGAGGCATAGACCTACAAGGTTCAGGGATGCATCTGATGCCTGACCAGAGAGGCGAGCCTGAGCTCCAGAGTGATTGACAGCTTTTATTCTCTCACCACTCCCATGCCCTGTGAAGTTGCTGGCAGGAGATGAGATGAGACATGTAAACCCATTACCTTTTCAGCTCACCATCTTGCCTAGTAAAGTACAACATTATTCAATTCCCATTTCTTTTCACTGGTCTTTTATTCCAGTTACAGAAAGTATGGGGTGGCAGGGACAGTGTGGTACAGGGGATGGCCAGTCTGCTTTGTGAAGTGGCACTCGGTGTGCGGGTGATCCCGACTGAGCTGTGCTGACTGGCATATGGAGCTTAATTGGGCGGGGCTCTGGATACTCTCCTCATCACAGAAGCCGGGTCTATGAGAAGTCAGAGGTCCCATGCTGGCCTCTGCCTTTTGTCCTATTCTTCAGTTCAGAACACAGACCCAGAGCTGGCAGTGACTTACATCAGACCACGCAGGAGTGAGGGGCTGAGTCCTGGCCATCACCCGGCTCTTCTGCTTTTGCCTCTGGGCTCTTTCTTGAGGCCAAGATAGTGCTGTCAACGCTACCACATATCTGGTGACTAAGCCAAACAGGAGCAGGCCAGATGTTCAGCAGAAGCAGCCCAGGTAGGTCCCAGGAGAGGTTCACAGGCAGAATGGAAGTGTCTTGGCTATGACTGCTCTGTTACTCTAACAGCGCGTGCCCAGGCATGCCCAGGGACTCCTTTAGTCCCAGCAATTCATCCGTGCCTTGGAGCTTCTGGGAGCCCTGACGGGACAGTGTGTGCCAGCACTCTAAATGTGGTGCTCACCAGCGTCGGTCTGAACCAAAATGAAGAGTCTTCGGGCTACACTCAAACAGCCCGGGATGATTGTATTTGGTTTGTTTATGTGTCATTGGTTCGATTCCTACTAAGTCCCTCGGAGCACTTGCGGTAGTGAAGAAACCCCTCCTATGCTCAACCTCAGCCACACACCCTTAACTGAAGCCACTAATGGGAAAACTGGAGGGCAATATTGCACGGCAATCGGAAGTCCTAGGACTCCTTGGCTCTTTTGACTCCTAGCCCATTGCTCTCTCCATGACATCAGGAGAGGGATGAGATGATACAGGGCACTTACTTTCAAGGTGGTCAATTTATTCTCTGCTTTCTAGACATACTATCTGGTCCTCTTTTCCAGACACACTTGCTTCAGTGAATAAATTAGAAGGCAATGCTTGAGGACCTCCCCACCCCAGCCAGCAAAACCTGTGCTATTTTGCACCAGGGCTCAGTGAGGGAGGAGCAGGGCCGTGGCATCAGCGGCATTAACTGTGGATAACAGGCAGGACTTCCAGGAAGCAACCATCCAGGTGCAGACCTCCTTCTCTCCCTCCCAGGATCAGTCCAGGATCAGTCCAGGGATGGCAAGAGTCAGGGAAGTGTAAGGTTTTGGCTTGTGAGCAGGGGGAAAGATTGTTGAATGTTGGGGTGACTAGGGAAGGGTTCTGAGAAGATTTGGACGGGCAGAACAAGGAAGCAAGAAGGTATTTTAGGGCATGGTTGTGTATGACCATGCCATGTTCTGGACAGAGGACAAAGATCTCGAGGGGGAGATTATCAGGCTGCTTCTAAACAATGTTAGTTCCTGCTGATATGGAATTCTAGGCAATTATTTTATTTTAGTTCTTTAGATTCTAATGGGGGACAAAGAAATGGAGTGTCACAATTTCTAGGCATTTCATAGCCCTGAAAATATTACTTATCTGTTTTTGTTAATACAATATCTTATTATCTAAAAGCATCTTATCCGGAATTTTTCAGCCACACCTTTGAGCTGCCTCACTGGCTCCTGTCTCCCTTGAGCAGATGGCTTTTGTTCTCTGCTAGGGGACCCGGCTTGTTGCTGCTGGCTCCTGTCTTGCAGATTCTGCTTCCTTATCTACTGCCTTTTCCGCTTCTCCTAGTCATTCATTCTTTCTTTCCTTCTTCCAATTCTCCTTTCTATGCTCTCTTCTCCAAATCCTTTATTTCTTTATGTAACACAATCCACTCGTTCACTCAGTCACTCCCGCACACACTCACTCACATTCACACGCTTGCACTGACTCGTGCACGCGGAGATGTCTAGAAGGACAGCGCCGTTTTCGACATTGCAGGGGTGTTTCAAAGGAAGTCTGAGGTTCTCGGGAAGAGGCAGCTGAACCACAAGAGAGAGGATAGCAGTTCGTGGATTCTCTCAGTCACCTCCTCGGGTTCCAAGTGTTGGGTGAGCACAGCAGGACTGGAGAGGGGTGTGAGCTCTAAGGAGAAGGAATGACTGGGACTGAGCCCCCAGAGGCAGCGGGATGGGTCTGAGGACTGGAGTCACTGGATGGGCAGGGCTATGGTCTCCTGGCAGAGCCTATGTGGACCCTGCATAAACTATTCTTGGCCCCACCATTGGGATTTCTGTGGGAGTTGGCACCCTTCTATCTATGTAGGGTGTAGGTGATGGTGGGGTTTAATTTCAGAGGACTTCACATTTTGAACAAGAGCCATTTTTGTCACCTCTGCTACTTCTTGACTGGCTCCTAAAGCATCATAAGTAGTCATCTACCCAGTAGGGTTATAATAATGCCCTGATAATGCTAACCTCGTGTCTCATGAGGATATCGTGAGGACTGAGTGAGAGGGCGCATAGAAGGACCGAGCACAGGTCCTGGCACGTACCGAGGGAGTGACGGAAGTCCCCACCGCTGTTCTCATTAACAGGGCAGTTTGGAGGACTGTTCGAAGCTGCCGGCAGCACTTGGTCCCTATCTAGGCAGCTCAGGTGTAAAGTCCCACCAACGAAGTCATGTCATCCTTGGGGTTGAGTAGATGAATCCAGAATTCCTAGACCTTCTTGCTGTGACTTCTCTGGGACACATGGCTTCAGAGTTGCCCTGATGAGCCCAGAACACATCCCCAGACATTCCCAGGAGGCTGTGACATAGGAGAGGGATGGGTGGGAAGCACAAATACTCCGGGAGGCTCAACCAGGCTCTCAGCTCAGCTGCATCGTAGCACTGAGGCATGGTGGTCCAGGGAGGAGAGGCAGAGGCAGCCAATGGCACCCTAGGATTATGCTGGGTGGGTCCTGATCACACGGGGTCCCAGGCCGTGGGAAGGGTGCAGTGGCTGATGGGAGTGACCTACACACCTGGCCTACCAGATAGGGAACTGTGTGCTTAGAGTCTGTTCCCACTCCCTAATGACAGCTGCTTAGCTTTACCAAGTTCCATTTCAACAGGACTGAGCTTGTGAAGGGACTGACTGCTGCCACCAGAAGTCCTTGCCACGAACAGGTGCTATCTGAGCTTTTTCAAGCTCAGTTAATGCTTAAGGCACCCAGGGCACAGGCACTGGTATTTGTTCTCACTACAGAAGAAATAGAGGGAGACCCTGGAAGGTGGAGTCAGGTGGTTCATGCTGGGGGCTTTTTGAGCCCATGAGTTCAGATGTCAGATTGCTTTTCTCGGGACCCCAGAGTGTGACTCATGCCCCTGTGGATCCTCCTCCAATTCTCTCCTCTCTGTTTTCCATAGGCACTATTTTATCAAGCAGCCTGGGACAGAATCCCAGGTTTAGTCAGCCACATGCTGGAGGTGCTAAAGCAGATCTTGTTATATCTGAGGTTTGCTGTCCTCAGCTATGGGCTAGAGACCATGAGCTCAGTTCCGTAGAGAGCACACATGGGAAGGTGCTGAGCACCGTACGTGGCTCACCGCAGCTTTCAGCTCATGGTTGCTTCCCAAGGGGAAGACAGTAGATGTTCTTAGAAGAGAAAGCAGAGGGCCTGGAAGAGATGGCTCAGCGGTTAAGAGTACTGACTGCTCCACCAGAGGACCCAGGCTCAATGCCCGGCACCCACTTGGCAGCTCAAAACTTTCTGTAATCCCAGTTCTGGAAACCCAATACCTGCACACAGACATACATACCAGCAAAACAGCAATAAAAATAAAATAAAGACAAATTATTAAAAAAAAGAAGAGAAAGCATGACAGCTTAGAAGATGGGTCCCATAGCTCTC